TATGTAAATAGAATCAGTAGTCTCTGTTTCTGCCTTCTTTCACTTGGCATATTTTTTAAGGTTCATCCATGAGATTATTGCATGTCTCCATATTTTACTTTTTTAGCATTTAATTATATTTGGATATCTACATTGTACTTATCTGTTCATTAATTGATAGTACATGGCTTGTTTCTACTTTGAGGCTATTGTGAATGATGCTCCTATGAATAGTCATATGCAAGTCTTTGTGTGGACATTTTGGCTTTTTTCAGGTAGCTACTCATAAGTGAAATTGCTAAGTAATATAGATATGATATAGGATTTAATGGTTCCAAGAATTGCCCAAACTGTTTTTCAAAGCTATCTCATTTCTTATTGCTAGCAATAGTGTGAGAGATTAGGAATTTTGTTCTTAAAGAGAAGATGTACGTCTTCCTATGGCAGAATGTAAACTTAAGAAAAGTCTAGAACTGCCTCGGAGAAGAAAGAAAATGTGTGCTGAGGTTGGCAGAGCAACAAGCTAGAGGGAGCCAGAGAAGCAGGGGTCTTAAACTGCTTGCTTCCAAACTTGACTTATGTGGGGGGAAAAAAGGCAATTCTAATGGGCATACTACTAAAGAACCAGAGAACATAGAGAGTGCCATTCACAAGACAGAACAAACAGGGAGACGGATTTAAAAAAGAGCCAGACTAACAAATGTTATCTATACTCGACTTAGTTCACTTAACACATATCATCCAGGTTCATCCACGCTGTCACAAATGGCATTTTTCAAAATATCTGTGTTTGTGAAGTGGGATGGAGGAGGAAGAGAGGATCGCCAGATTCCAAGATAGCAACTGAATAAAGTGTATTGTTTTGAGAGACACCATTTCCTGAGCTCTAACCTTAGAGAAAAGATGTAATATCACTGAGTATAAGGTGTTTGATGGAAGGTGTTTGAAATATTAACCCTGGGGACAAATTCTCACTTTTCCTAACCTTACTCTTTTAGTTTTCATCATTGTGAAATCCCCCATTGAGAGATGAGTAATAACCAGAAAGAAGCAGTCAAACATCAGAAGATAAATTATTCCAGACAACAGGACAGAAAATAACCCTCTGAAGTCTCAAGTTACAAATTTTCTGATTAACTTAGGATAACATTTAAAGAAGAAAGAAGATTAAGAGAAGAGCAAGGAGATGATAAAATATCAAAAAGAAAGGAAATTGAGTTGGAAGAGCTCAAGAAGAAAATAAGAGAAAAATGTAACCCATTAACAAAGAGCTCTTAGTCTTCCTCAAGACTAATCTAAAAGACACAGGCATAGACATATAATATGTATGTATATATATATATATATATATATGTATTTATACATTCATTAACAAGTAGTAATTTATATATATATATATATCAGCATAATGTGATGTTTTAAGTCAAGACCTTGAGAAGATGGTTCTTAGTCAGAAAGCCAATTTAATCTTCAGATTTTCCAAATAAAAAAGTTGTGATCATTTAAAGAAACTCATTTATCTGGGTGCTGGTAGCTAATGCTTGTAATCCTAGCTACTCAGTAGGCTGAGCTCTGAGGATCACTGTTCAGAGCCAGCCCAGTCAGGAAAGTTCGTGAGACTTATCTCCAATTAACCACCATAAAACTGGAAGTGGTACTGTGGCTTAAAGTGGTAGAACCCTAGCCTAGAACAAAAAGAGTTCAGGACCAGCACCCAGGCCCTGAGTTCAAGCCTCACAACTGATAAAAAAATAAATAAATAAAGTTATTTAAAGTGTTGTAGTTCCCACATATGTAAATGAGATCTAATGATCTCTCAAGAAAGATAGGAACTGTGTGTATCTGCAAGGCTCTTTTCTGATGCTGAGAAGTGAGCAAGGTGGGTGACATTAGGAATAGATGGATACCTGATCGCAGAAAAGTAGAAAAAAAAACAACTGGGAATTGCTGCTTATTGGTGGGATTCACAGATGATACCATGTGGAAGTGAGTGTAGGAAAAGAAATTCAAGAAGTACCCTACTGACTCCAACAGCTAAGGTTACACACCCGAACTAACAAACTCTTCTCTCAAAAATTCACTCCAGCCGGGCGCCGGTGGCTCATGCCTGTAATCCTAGCTACTCAGGAGGCTGAGATCTGAGGATTGCGGTTCAAAGCCAGCCCGGGCAGGAAAGACTGTGAGACTCCTATCTCTAATAAACCACCAGAAAACTGGAAGTGGCACTGTAGCTCAAGTGGTAGAGCGCTCACCTTGAGCTGAAGAGCTG